GTTATCATTTGTGTGCTTCAACAGTTAAACCAATCTGCAATCTGGAGTATACTACTGCTAACAAACATGCAAATAACTGTTGTAACTGTTAATTTTATTGGGGGCCAGGGAGGTGTGGTGGATGAGGATGGTGAAAAAAGATGAATGTGCTTGATATATCCATCACCCTGAAATCAAATGCAACAGCAGTTACAGTCTAAAAGAGTTATTAGGTTTTGTTGTTCTTGCTTGTGATGAACTGATGGCATGTTAGCTTCTTCAGAATGCAGATGCAGTTATCTATCTTCACTTGAATCCTGTCATACTATTTGGGACTTGGCTGCTTACTTCAGGCAAATGTATTTCTTATCAGGTGATTTGCAGAACATGGCAAACCGCTCACAAAATGAAGTTAGTGAGAGGATCAATTGAAGCTGATGGATCAGACAATGACAACCTTCGGATAAAGCGATACATCGCCAAGTACACCATAAATCCTGCAATAGCTAATGGATTTTCTCAGTATGTGGGATCAGTTGAGGTAAACTCTTTATTGATTTTTAATTTCACCTTGTAACCTTAGAACAAATAAGTAAATGAAGATATGGCTCTAGGAAATAATGATTTTATATTTGAAGACGTTACGAATGTCTATTACAATCAAAAACAAAAAAGTTTGGTTGTAATCGACCATCTCTATAGATCTAACCCAAAACTTCAGAGTAATAGAAACTCAAATCATACATGTCAGTAGTCATGTAATCACTTACCTCTGCTACTGCAACATCACTGTGCAAATTTGTGCTGGGTTGTCTGAAGAAAATAGATCTATCAGATAGGAGATGGCTATGGTCATCACTCGTCAGTTATCCAGTGTTCATGATTCTTGATTTTGGAGTCATTGTGGTCAAATTGATTTGAATGGTGAAACGAATGTTATATAACACTATTTTCAGGCATATATTTTTTAAAAATTCTGCTTATCAGGGAAAAAATCATTAAATAATTTTGCAAAGTATTTTTTTTGCTTTTCTCATCTTCGCATGGTGAGAAGAGCTCCCTATGCTCTATGAACTAATTATGTCAATAGTAATACACATGTGGTTGACCTATGTTCTGCGCTACAACATATTATTTCCTGATTTCGTGGCCAGGAATGGACTGTTATTAATTGCTGAGTACTAATTAAGCAGCTCCTTAAGTTTAGTTTTTTTTTGAGACGTAGCAGCTCTTCTTAGTTAAATTCTCACTGACACTAAAACAAAGTTGGACCATGTATGTTTGGTAGGTGGGGAAGTTAGCTGATCTTGTCATATGGAAACCATCTTTCTTTGGGGTAAAACCTGATATGGTGATCAAAGGTGGTGCAATTGCATGGGCTGACATGGGTGATCCAAATGCAAGCATCCCGACTCCTGAACCGGTAAACATTATTTATCCTTAGAAGTATCCAAGTTGCTNCCTTAGAACAAATAAGTAAATGAAGATATGGCTCTAGGAAATAATGATTTTATATTTGAAGACGTTACGAATGTCTATTACAATCAAAAACAAAAAAGTTTGGTTGTAATCGACCATCTCTATAGATCTAACCCAAAACTTCAGAGTAATAGAAACTCAAATCATACATGTCAGTAGTCATGTCATCACTTACCTCTGCTACTGCAACATCACTGTGCAAATTTGTGCTGGGTTGTCTGAAGAAAATAGATCTATCAGATAGGAGATGGCTACGGTCATCACTCATCAGTTATCCAGTGTTCATGATTCTTGATTTTGGAGTCATTGTGGTCAAATTGATTTGAATGGTGAAACGAATGTTATATAACACTATTTTCAGGCATATATTTTGTAAAAATTCTGCTTATCAGGGAAAAAATCATTAAATAATTTTGCAAAGTATTTTCTTTGCTTTTCTCATCTTCGCATGGTGAGAAGAGCTCCCTATACTCTATGAACTAATTATGTCAATAGTAATACACATGTGGTTGACCTATATTCTGCGCTACAACATATTATTTCCTGATTTCGTGGCCAGGAATGGACTGTTATTAATTGCTGAGTACTAATTAAGCAGCTCCTTAAGTTTAGTTTTTTTTTGAGACGTAGCAGCTCTTCTTAGTTAAATTCTCACTGACACTAAAACAAAGTTGGACCATGTATGTTTGGTAGGTGGGGAAGTTAGCTGATCTTGTCATATGGAAACCATCTTTCTTTGGGGTAAAACCTGATATGGTGATCAAAGGTGGTGCAATTGCATGGGCTGACATGGGTGATCCAAATGCAAGCATCCCGACTCCTGAACCGGTAAACATTATTTATCCTTAGAAGTATCCAAGTTGCTTGTTCCAAATTCAGACATCAAAGTTTTTATCCCCAATGCTGGCCCATTTGCAAGATCTTCTTGAGCTTGCAACTTCTCACATTCAATTACATAATTAAAAATATGATTTCGTATTGTTGAAAAATACTCAAGATTTTAACAGTTTCTTTTTGGTCAGATTGGAAATTTGATTTTGGTGGATTCTTCATTTGATATTTCAGTCAAACTGGTGAATTTTGGTTCAATTTTACTGAAGCACCAATTGTTGCAGGTGATGATGAGGCCCATGTTTGGAGCATTTGGCAAGGCTGGAGGTGCTAACTCAATTGCTTTTGTCAGCAAGGCATGAACTTCCCTCTGTTGCTCCCTCCTATGTCCACTTGTATAATTTACATTTAAGTTTCTATTTGTCATATGTATGTTTCACCCTCCAAAACAGGCAGCTGCTGATTGTGGAATTAAAACCCTGTACGGACTCAGCAAGAGGGTGGAAGCTGTGGGCAATGTGAGGGGGCTCAGCAAACTTGACATGAAGCTCAATGATGCTCTTCCAAACATCAATGTGGATCCTGAGACATACACAGTTACTGCAGACGATGTGGTTCTTACCTGCACTGCGGCTATGACGGTCCCTCTTTCTCGAAACTACTTCCTCTTTTAGGCACCGTTGCCGATAATTCTGATAGCTTACCGTCTTATATTTTAATTCTAGAAATTTGTAGAACTGGACCCAATTTTTTTTTTTGCAAATTTGCAAAAGTGAAACAAGAGATCCCTCTGAAGTTAATAAATAGTAGTTCTGAATTTTGTCATTCTTTGATGCCTGCTGGATGCATGGAGGCAACAGTTTTTCTTCTCTCTCTCATATTGATGGTTCCAACATTGTCTTTCATTTGCAAATGATTATGATGAGCTTGGGTAAGNCTCATTGATGGTTCCAACATTGTCTTTCATTTGCAAATGATTATGATGAGCTTGGGTAAGATAATTTTCAGTGTTATCTTAAATCAGATGTGTTGATTTAATAATGTTTCTTTGGTTTTATTTTTAGGTCATTTTTGCCTCAGGTCTACCTGGCCCCATTTTGCAACATTTGCCACACCAATTATGTTTGCTACAGCCCTGTCATCAGTCATTAGTGCATCACAATGCTCAGGGGTGAGGCTTAGGCAAGTCTATTTTTTTATTGTTATTTGACATTGTTTTGGCAATCCTTCAACTTTCAGTAGCATGGGACAAGGGCTTCAGGTCAGCTGGTAATTGTGATGATTAGNGTTATACTGCCTCTTGACCCCTGTTTTTTGTGTTTTTGAGTTCTGGATTTTTGAGCTGATTACTTGTTATGGAAGCACACTTCAGTAATTTACAATATCTGGTGCTATGGATTAGGAACCTTTTTTTATTGTTATTTGACATTGTTTTGGCAATCCTTCAACTTTCAGTAGCATGGGACAAGGTCTTCAGGTCAGCTGGTACTTGTGATTAGGGGTGACAATTTTTGATACGAAACGATAACTAGATACAAAACACGATACGAATAAATGGGTTTGGGTTGATTAATTTTTTGACACGACCCGCGTATAACATGACCTGTCAACACGAAGTGTTAATGGTTTGTGTTCAAGTTTAACCCGTTTAACATGAATTGACCCGTCAGCACGAAGTTTTTAATTCGAAGGAAATTGACTTGATTTTTTCGTTGCATGAGTTTTTATGTTTTGATGACTTGTTTTTTCTATTATTTTTTATGTTTAATTTGGTTGTATGATGTACGATTAACATATTTAATTAGTATTATATAAATAAAATATTAATTATTTGTAAATGTTTATCAAGCACTAACATAATTATTGTATAAAAAAGATACTATTACTCATTATTGTTGTTATTATTATTAAGTTAATTTTTAGTTTGTAGAAAAAGTATGAGGAGAGATTCAATTAAGTGAAAATAAAATCTTAGTGTTAAATTTTTTATTCAAAGTTTATGTAGATCAACACGCTTATGAACACGAACACGACACGAAAATAAACAGGTCAACTCGACACGACACGAATAGTTAAATGGGTTGGGTATGGGTTGACTAATATTCGACACGACTAATGTTCGACACGATATTAATCCGCCACAACACGATTCGATTGCTACCCCTACTTGTAATAGAGTGCTATATATACTGCCTTTGTCCCTGTTGTTGTTTGAATTTTTCTCTCATTGGCCCAGGGACGGATCTAGGATTTTATAATAGGAGGGACCGAATAGAGACATTCATTGAAGATTTTCATTCAACAAGTTTTTAATTTCAAATTTTTAGTTGTATAAAATAAACAAAAAATTATGGAATACACCCCAAAAAAATAAACAAAAAATTATAATGATATAAATCTGTCCACCAATATATATATATATATATATATATATATCTAACCTTGATAGGATTCTTCTGATCATGTGTTGAAATTGGATAACTTGCAAATTATTGTTGACTACCATGTTGGTGTGAAAGGAATTCTATACCCGAATTGGATGACTATAACATTTTTTTTTCTCGATAAGTAATGACCGTAATATGTTACATGACATATGCGTGCATTTCACGACCTTCCCTATGATTGGTTGGGTTCATATCATATGCGACTTAAACTCTTATTAACAACTCTCTACTCTTCAAGCATTAATTAAAACAATGGGTAGCTTTGACATATAATAATAAGGAAACGAATACATCCCACTTGCGTCTTGCACTGCGCCCAATGATCAAATATTTAAACTCAGAACATCTGGATTTCTTATGATTTGATTCTAAAAGATTGTCAAGATTTAAACTCAGAACATCTGGATTTACAATTCATTTATATTACTACTTAAACAATTCTTTAGGGGTAAAAATTATTTTAATCATTCCTATAAAACTACAATAAATAATACTTCCATATTAATATAACCCTCTTTTTTCTATTGAAATAACTCAACTCCATAACCAAACATATCCTCACCAATTTATTGTACTTTAATTTTTATTCAACAAGTTTTTAATTTCAAATTTTTAGTTGTATAAAATCTATCCGAATAAACTTTAGCATGATACATTAAATTATCCGTTATTTCTAATCAAATTGAGGAAAATAGTTCAATATGTCCACCTATATGGAAAAAAAACTGCTAATTTAATAAAATAATTAACAACCTCATCAAAGAACCATTTAAGTACAACTAAATGTGAACTCAAATTTATGGCATCATCAATAATTTCGACACACATTAATCAAATAATCTAACAATTATAGCTAAATTTATCCTCAATTTCACCAAATAACTTAACAATTTCGACTCAATTCAAAAAGTAACCTAATGATTTGGAGAAAAAAACAAAAAAAAAATGTATTTACTCAATAGGAGTCACTGACAAAGCATGGTGACATACACACTACACTATCTATCACTTTCGTGACTTGAACTTGTGACTACCTAGGCTTCTTGAAACTTTTACTGGGATACATGTGATGCGACGAGATGTTGACATGTAGATTAGAACTTCATACAATTATGTGATAGGCGGTGGAAAATCATCATCCTGATTTCATTATTACAAATAAGCCGTGATAGGAGCATAATTGCTCGATGTTGCTTGTGTCTTTACGATTTGAGATTTTGATCCGTTGAAGCTATAAGTTGAGTGAGAACAAGTCGACTTTCTTTACATGGATAGTTTTGAAGTATTCCATGTAGTGTTTGAATTAAAGACCTTTAAGCTATAAAATACGGCCCTGAATAAAGGAGTTACATTTCGTGAGCGCCTCTTATGTTTTCCTTATCCTTAGCTTTCTTGCATAAGCAACTGTCAATGAGGTATTATGGCTATGCTCATTAATTATCTCATGGATCTATTTACTTGAGCTGCATGGTGGTGTTGGGGTCGTTTGGTTTATTGGGAAGACAGTGTGCTGGAAAAGTACACAGGTGTGTTTTTCTGATTCCATTAGAATTCATGCCTACAATTTCTGATATGCTTGGACTCGGTGTGATTAACAATCTTTCAACTAGGCTCAACTTCACAGGCCTTTCTAGCTTTCTGCACCTCTGAAGTTTATCAAAGTCTCGACACACTTGGTGGAACCATTGACCTGGTGGCTGGTATTCCCAACCGTAGCAACAAGGATTTGAGTCTTGAAGTCTACCAAAAGGTACTAGTTTTATTGCTAGTTGATATCCTGTCATAGTTGTTCTTATTCGAAACTCCTTTCCTTGGCCAATCCTTCTATATAATAATACATAGTCTTAGGCGTCTTTGACACGTTATCGCCTTGGGGTATCTTGTTATTTGATTGGAGATATTGAAGAGTTAGTAGCGCATGTGAGATGGACATGTAAACTAAAGCTCTTATAATTTAGTTTATAGTGCCAAGTTGCCAACCATAGATAATCTTGTAGGTCTGTTAGGTTCCTTGGTGCAAATTTAAAATGAGAGTTGTGGTTGGCAGTGGGAAAGAGAGCACATGAAGTCAGTCACCTTATGTGAGTGAGAATCAAATGTTTGCTTGTTTTCCAAGAGCTTTGTTATGTAAATAAACTATGAATGAATTACCCTTGCTAATTAAAAAAATGTTGTAGTCAATTAACAAGGTTATTTACATAGCAACGATTAAGATATGTAAATGATAGATTGTCTCGTCTAAGTAACCTTTATTTTTAGAGTGGTTTATTCCCCGACTTTATCCCCCAATGCATGGCATTTGCACTTGCTACCAATATGTTTATGAGGAGCCGTGACAGTGAATAGATAATATTTCACATGGAAAGCATATGGGAATTCAGTAGGCTGTTCACAGGTTTTGTCCAATCTACAATACTATAAGACTGACGGTTTACCAATAACATCATGGACGTGGACTTGGAGTCCACACCTACAACCTGCATAAGCGAAAATCTCAATTAATCCTAATTGTTGGATAGATTTAGGAGGTGGGGCGGTGGGACCATTTATTTATTTGATCAATTCATTGTCATTAACTAGCATGTAACAAACATATGGTACACGAGTTCGGCAGAAGAACAAGGCCCGCCAAAGTAGCCGCCTTCTAAGATCATGACTTCCACTACGATTACATATAAAAAGAATGCAAAGGGTAATGTTTCGTTTTCTTTTAATTTGCTTCTTTAATTAATTAAACCACGTTAATCCGACAAAGTTAACTTAAATATTATATATGCTTCCCGAACTCGTATTCTTTTTCTTTTAACTGCTCTCAAAGCATCCCGGTGTAGACAACCGGAGAAACACTATACTAGAGGAGGCCCCATTGACCCAAAATAATAATAATAATAATAATTTGTTGATGGTATTATCTGGTTATGGAATGTCTGTAGAGCAAATGACATTTTATTTGTGTTTGGCGTAACTTCTCAAAATAAAAATTCATCCTTAAAATAGACTTTTTAAAATAGATTTTTTAAGATTGACCTTTTGAAATACCTAATTGTTTAATAAAAAAAGATATATTTTAAGTGTTTTTGAACTATTGTGTATTTACAACTAGTCATGTCTATCTATAACTAACTAATTATGCCTATCCACAGCTAATGTTGTAATACAATATATCTTGTTTTGCTTTTATCTTATAATTTGAGATAACTAAATTATCTATTAAGTAGGCCTAAAACAGATATTTAAGTACAAAAATTAAGGCTAATTTTGAAAAGCAAGATAAAATTAAAAATCATTTTCCAAGAAGTGCAAAGAGACTTCTTTAGAATAAGCATCTTGAAGATGCACTTTTTGATAAGTTCAATTTTTTTTGGACCCCAAATAATCTTATCTCTTTGAAAAGTGTTTACGTCTATGTGATAGGACTTTTGAGTTGTCTGTCAACACACACAAGTTGTAGATATTTGATCATTGGGTGTAGCTCCTCTATAGTTAGGGGAAAACAACGTGTGCTGTTAGTCAAATGGTGTCGTTTTCATGAGTTTAAGCAGCAAAAAAATTCCACAAACTGATACAATTTGGTAGAAAGTTTTTCGCTAGAAAAAAAAACCCATCTTTGCACAAGACACTATTGCCCACGAATTTATGTGAACTTCGAAACTCAGGCTCTGTAGTCGACAATTTAAATATGGCAATGGTCATCTTTGATTTCTAGCTGGGATTTTGTATTTCTCAATAGTGCTTTTGAGAGAACTCTTATTAATGTGTTTGTTTGAGGATAGATAGTTTGCAATGAGACATGACAAAGTACAAGTTAATGATAGTGTCTTATGGTTGAAGCTATATTCTAAGGTTTTGGCGGGTTGATGGGTTGGTATGTCAGGGGTTTGGTGGCTTGCTGTTGTGGGTTGTGCATGAGGGTGTTAGGATTTGGGTTGGGGGTGGGTGTAGTGGAGAGCTTTTAGCGCTAGGAGGTGAAGATGGTTTGGAGGACTTGACGATGAGATGCTGGGTGGAGGGTGGCCGAAGTGTGGGTTTGATCATAAGGCCCTAACATTCTTCTTCTTCTGTTTTTTTAACTTACGAATCTTCTATTTGTCATTGGGAACATCCTATAAAATTGAAACGATACCAAAAAAAAATAAAAATTAGCATGACACAAATATAAGTTAGTTTGTCTGGCAATGAGGGGTTTAGAAACATAAAAAATCAAAATTTATTAAGTAACCTACACATTCCTATTACAACGATGTGAAACCTACAACAGTTTTTGGATGGAATACAGCCCAAAAAAATAAACAAAAAATTATAATGATATAAATCTGTCCACCAATTTATATATATATATATATATAAATCTAACCTTGATAGGATTCTTCTGATCATGTGTTGAAATTGGATAACTTGCAAATTATTGTTGACTACCATGTTGGCGCGAAAGGAATTCTATTCCCGAATTGGATGACTATAACATTTTTTTTTCTTGGTAAATAATGACCGTAATATGTTACATGACATATGCGTGCATTTCACGACCTTCCCTATGATTGGTTGGGATTCATATCATATGCGACTTAAACTCTCGTTAACAACTCTCTACTCTTCAAGCATTAATTAAAACAATGGGTAGCTCTGACATATAATAATAAGGAAACGAATACATCCCACTTGCGTCTTGCACTGCGCCCAATGATCAAATATTTAAACTCAGAACATCTAAATTTCTTATGATTTGATTCTAAAAGATTGTCAAGATTTAAACTCAGAACATCTGAATTTACAATTCATTTATATTACTACTTAAACTATTCTTTAGGGGTAAAAATTATTTTAATCATTCCTATAAAACTACAATAAATAATACTTCTATATTAATATAACCCTCTTTTTTCTATTGAAATAACTCAACTCCATAACCAAACATATCCTCACCAATTTACAATGGACAATGCTGTAGTAATAAAAAAGGGCAAAAAAGAAAAGAAAAGAAAAGAAAAGAAAGAACAAATGGCGTGTTATTAATATAATACTTAATATTAAAATTTTACTCATGACTCTAAAAAAAACCCCTCACATTTCTCTTCATCATTTAATAATTTTTAAATTTTGAAGCTCAACATTTCTTATATTCTTAAATGTGAATCACCCTTATTTTTTAAGATACATGTTTTAAACTCACTCAAATTATGATAGTTAATATTCGAACTCAAATGAATAGTCGGTATAAACCTTAATTCTTTCTATCAAAAAAAATAAAAAAATAAAAAAAATAATAAAGCACATCAATCATGATGTTGTTTTATGATATTATGTATAATTATAAATTAGACATGACATGTCGTTCAAATCATGTTTCCATGTCATAAAATATTATTGGTTACAAGTTAAAAAAGATTTGTCACTTTGAACAAATCATGTATTCTTTTCAGAACAAAAGTACTGATTCAGATATGGCTTAGACCTAATCGTATCGACTCCAGAATCAATTGATATCTTCAGCTACAAAAAAGATCTTTTAATATTGTAAAAAATATATTCCATAAAAATAAAAAATAAAAAATTAAGACATGTTTTGCATACAACTAGGCATGCTAATTGTGGTGTCAAAATTATTCTATTCATATATGATTCGTTTATTATTTTGTGTCTAACGAATCATATCGTATCGAGTTTGTATCCTGTATAACTGTCATATAAATAAGTCGTGTCATATATTTTTTTTGATTAACTTCATTTATACACGATTCGTTTATTAAATTGTGCCGTGTCGGGTCGGGTATACTTGTTTATTAAATAAATGACTTAAAAAAGATTCAAACTCTTTAATTTCGTATTGTGTTAATCGATCGTGTCATAATATTAACTAAATAAAGGTATATTGTTGTCACGATCGAGTTATTCCTACCGGACTCTAATCAATCGGTATATTATTTGTACCAGTGAATTGTTTTTTTTCTAAATTTGTGACGGGAATTAATTAATACCAACCTATAAACTTGGTATTCAAGTTATTAATGTGTCCAGCAAAAAATTATCATCTCGAAGAATTTTAAAATTTTTTTTATTATATTTTTAATGCATTAAAAATATTACAATATAATTATTTTATTAACTTACGTTATTTTTTTTTGTCAAAATCTATTCTAAACTATTGGCACTGACCAAAAAAATTAATAGAAAGCAAACAAAAAGGTCTAATATAAACAAATTA